ATCGTAAGACGGAACTTGTAGACTTGAACAAAAAGTCTGGACGTCCCAGAAAAACCAATGGATGCCTTGATAGAATAATTGTAAGAACAGCTAAAAAATATCAATTTTATTCTTCAGCCAAAATTAAGGCTGAGGAGTTACAAGAAACACATAATTTGGAGGTATCAACACGTACAATACGCAATAGATTAATTGAAAATAAACTATTTGCCCGAAGACCAGCGAGAAAACCACTTCTACCAAAAAAAAAATAAAGCCACAAGACCACTATTTGCACGCACCCATCAAGAGTGGACATACATACAACGAATGGAAAAAGGTATTGTTTAGTAATGTATCCTAGTTTAACTTATTTAAAAGTGATGGAGTGCAATATGTGAGGCATCCAATAGGAAAAAGGCTGACTTCTAAATACATGCAGCGAACATACATGCATTAAAACATGGAAGTGGAAGTTCTGTGATGGTTTGGGAATGTTTCTCTGGTTTTGGTGTGGTCCTTATACACCGTATTATGAGAATAATGGACAGATTTATGTACCATGATATATTAAGAAATGTTATAGAACCTTATGCAGTCGGACAACCATCCGAAACGCACATATAAAGCCGTAACGTAATGGTTTGAACAAAATAAAATAAATTTGATGACTTGGCCATCACAGTCACCAGACTTAAATCCTATAGAAAACCTATGGAAAATAGTAGACGATAAAATACGAAATAAAATTTACAAAAATGGTGACGAATTGTTCGCTGCTCTTCAAAATGAATGGTCTAAAATATCGAAAAAACCATTGACAATTTAATACACTCAATGTTACGAAGGTGTCACGATGACATTAATAATAAAGGAGATTGTATTAAGTACTAAAAAATCTTTGCTTTTTATTCAATTTAACTGTTATTTACGTATGAATTGTTAAGTTGTTCTACTTTTTTCCAACTCAACTTTTGCAATTCTCTTTAATTTCTATAAAAATAAAGCTATCTTTGTCAAATTTCGGCTACACAATTACTATATAATACACATTGCCATAGTAATGTAAAACCTGACGAAAAACAAATTTAAAATTTAATATAAAAAAATTAAAAGTTGCTTTACTTTTTTCCAATACTGTACGTGTAGTATTAGAGCAGTATTGGAGGGGATCAGATTTTTTCTTCCATTCCTTTTAGTTATTTCGGGTCTCTATTCAAAACAGTAACTATGAGGCAACCACGAGCTTGTCTCTAGTTCTCGTACCAGAAGGGACACCAATTGGCAATATCTTCGTAATGATTTTGGTCTATTAAAGAACATGTGATACTTTCTTTGTTCGAGACATCCTTATCACAATTTATAATTCAGATTTACATTTTTTGCTAATGTACAAAGAGGTTTATGTCTCGTTGCATCGTTACACCTGATTTTTAACATTTTTGTTGCTGGGAATGCGTTCTAGCCTATCCTCGGGTGTGTGTAAACATCTTACATAATTCTAAATTTACCGTAGCAAGGCATTCTTCTTTTGGATTAAGAGAAGCCCACGTAATTACTCAAAAATTAGTAGGGGAGATCAGGGCACATTCGGACAGGGCAAATTCACCGCCCAAAATACTTGCAACACTGTGCACGGTCGGACAAACGTCGTCTTAGTTCTGTTAACGGCTGCTGTGAAAAGGTGGTGCCGGTATTTCAACAAATCTTTCTATACACTAAATTATAGTTTTTTATGCCAAGAGGTAAATATTTTCCACTTTACTTCTTAAGCTTCTAAATATTTTTCGCTGATATTTTCTGAAATCTGTTTCATACAGCAAGAAGCAACATCAAGCAATTTTCACTACGAATTCATTCTCAATGTCGGCAAACATGCAATGCTAACCTCAAAAATTGTATAGCTTATTGTTTCCACAAACTGCGTACGGGGTACTTTCGAACAATTTAACTGGGCCACATTCGGACTGTCCGAATGTGCCCTGTACACTGTCTCAATATACCCGGATTTGATTTATTTTGTTATAAGTAGCTTTTAGCACTTATTTTTCTTCTAGAATGGTTCGCACATACATACGAAAAACTGAAAGAGCCAGTATATCAGAAAATGCCATACAAGCGGCAATAACTGCTATAGTTGAAACTGGAATGTCCGTTAGAGTGGCGCTTCAGTACACAATATTCGAAAGTCGATACTTCAGAATCTCTTAAAAAGATTTCGTAAAAACCAAAATGGAGATTCTGGAAATGATAGCGATAATGATAAAAATACGTCTAAATATGCAGCAAGAAGTGCGTTTAGTGGTCGAGAAAAAAATGAACTAAAACAATATTAAATTCAGACTTCCATTATGTATTTTGGGTTAACATACCAAAACACTCGTGCTTTGGCCTACGAATACGCAGTCAAGCTGGAAAAGAAACACTCTCCTTCGTGGTATACAAACAAAATGGCAGGCGAAGACTGGATAGCTGCTTTTATGAAAAGAAACCAAGATTTATCCCACCGAGAACCTGAAAATACTAGCCTCGCAAGAGCTAGTGTTTTTAATTCAACTAATATGAAACAGTTTTTTAACAATTATAGGAAACTAATGGAGAAATACAACTTCACGCCAGACCGGATTCTGAACTGTGACGAAACAACATAACAACAACATAACAACTGTTCGACAGGCCCCTAAAGTAATTGCACAAAGCGGAAAGAAGCAGGTTGGGCAGGTGGTTTCTGGGGAGCGTGGTACATTAGTAACATTCTGCGGAATTATAGCGGCTTCTGGAGTTTCCTTGCCTCCTATTTACAACTTTTCTAGAGTAAGAATAAAAGATGAATATCTGTATGGATCAGCACCAGGCTCCGTGTATTTTGCATCAAAGACTGGGTGGATGACTACTGAAATTGTTGTAAAGGTGTTGGAACATATCAAGAAGCATAAGAACTGCAGAACCGAAAATCCAATATTACTCATAGGTGATAATCACGAGACACACAATAGCCTTGCAGTTATTTTATATTGTAGAGAAAACGGTATTAAACTACTTTCATTTCCGCCGCATCGCACCTACCAACTGCAGCCCAGATATGTCGGGATCTATGGGCCATTAAATCAAGGTATAAAGCATTATACAACGACTTTTTGAGCTCCAATCCTGGAACAACGATTAAAATAAATCACATTCCTCAACTTTCACGTGAACCATACTTGTTATCTCCTATAAACATCGTGAAAGCGTTTGCTAAAACAGGAATTTGGCCGCTAAATTCTCAAGCTTTCTCTGAAAATGATTACCTTCCAGCAATTGTCACTGACAGGCCTTTCAGCACATCCATGGCAATTCAGGATTTAGATATTTCCGTAGCAAAACAAGAAGCAATGAGTGACTTGCCAGGTCCTTCTGGAATCCAAGCTACTACTGACATTATCAAGATGGTGACAAGTATTGTTGAAGAGTTGCTTGTAAACGTATGCAAAGAGAGAAAGAAGAATTACACGGTTACTGATATTCGCCCTTTTCCAAGAGCACCCTCACGAAAGATTGTACGTAAATCCAGGCAAGGAAGCTCCAAAATTTACACCGACACACCGCCAAAAGTAACGAATTGAAGACATTGAAAGGGGGAAAATGAAACAAACTAAGAAAAATGCTACAAGACAAGTCTTTCCAACAAAAAGTAAGAAATCAGAAAAAAAGAAGGTGGTGCCAAAATTAAGCACCGGAAAGAAAATAAGTAAAGAAAAGAAATGGCAAAAGAAAACTCAAGATGAGACATCTTCATCTGATTCAGATCGAGGTTCCAAAAACAAAAAAAGGCAAATATTCTTCTGATTCATCACATCTAGACAACATGGAAGATGACCTAGAAGATGAAGAAACTGATGTGCCAGGCTTATTAGAGTTTGAAACAATAATTGAGACCGATAATTACATTTTGGTTAAGTTTCCTACAAAAAAGGATCAAACATTACATTGGCAAAGTCCTAGCTGTTGATGATCGATCTGATGAATACGAGGTTAGCTTTTTTAGAAAAAAAGGCAATACAGGTTTTGTTTTTTCGAATATCTTGGACGTGTCAGTGGTCCCTAGGTCTGATGTCATTTTGAAATTGCCACAACCTATCAAGTCAAGCACTACAAGAGTAAATGCAATAATTAAGTTTCCAATTAACTTAGATATGTACTACGTCATTGAATAAAGAGTTTGAATTCATTGTAGCTCGTTTCTTTTTTGTATTATTATTTTGGTCTTTTAGGTACTACACTGTCCGAATGTGCCTCGTGCATGGTCAAAGTGCACTTCTTTTATAAATATTACTGAGTGGAAAAATATGACCTATTTTTAAACTCTGAACGTTTTGTAACATGTATAATAGAGCATACTTTGTTGTATTACTAAAAGGTAGTAGCTATCTTTCATGTTTGATGAAATAGAGGCAGCTGATCAAATGTGCCCCGGTCTTCCCTACACCTTTTTCTACAAGTTATTATAATAATTGTAAAATCAGTCAAAATCATTTTGCTTTAATATAAAACCAATTCCTCAACCAGGGGTTGAAATCACGAGACACCACTTTAACCACTATAATTAACTTGGCGACCTACGACGCGTCATGTAAAGTAACGGGGAAGGAAACATAATCGATTTGTGTATATCAGATACCAATATTTATCAACTTTCACATGTAGCAATATCAAACCTGGCGATTTGTACGCGGCAGAAATTGTTGTAATGTAATTATGATTTTAATAACCATTATTTCAATAATTAATTAACTTGGTGAATACTACATAATACTACATAATTTAAAACAACAAACAATTAAAACACAATTAAAACGCAAATTAGTTATATAATTACGAAAAACGAAATAAAGCAAACTATTTTGAAAACTATCTGTTATAAAATAAACTTTATATCGTGTAAAAAACAAAATCTCGTGACTGAGTTCATTCATCCGTTTCTTGTAGTAAGCAAAAACACGACGTCATTGTAAATACAACAAAAACGTCTATATCCAGAAGATGCACTTTGTTCGTTCAATCAAAGATTCCTTCCTTAAAATTGTAAGGAATAAAAGAAAAAGATTCAATGCCGTGATTAGTTTTGTCGCATTCCTCATTGTAACTGCCACGAATCGCTTTAAATGTTAACTAAGTTCTTGTTCTCCAAAAGAAAATATCGCGATAATCCCCTCCCGAAACTCCTACGCTTTTTTAGACTACATCGGATACTATATAAGAATTTGGAAACATTTTTAAGACAGCTATTTACTAATTTCTTTGGTTTGAAGAACCAGAATAAGAAAAACGTGAATTAAAACATTGGAAAAAAATTAAATAATTTTAATAATTTAATTTAAATGAAATGGCTTCAAAGTGGAGTAATAACACAAGGTAATTATTATATTTACAAGATTTATGATTGGAGCGGTTTTAATTTAATTTAATAATTATAGAGCCCACGCAAAACCAAATAATGGCACAAGAAAGTTTCCACAAGGTACTTTTGACTATGTAAACCGTGATAAATACGAATTCGGTGATTATGGATATGGAAAAAATTCGGTGAAACTTCTTCATGTAGAAAGAAATAGCCCAAGGCATGCGATAAGAGAATACGAGGTCGATGTTCACTTAAAACTAAACTCACAATTAGATTATCTAGAAGGGAATAATAAAGATATCGTCGCTACTGATTCTCAAAAAAACACCGTTTATATTTTGGCGAAGAAAAATGGTATTAAAACACCCGAAGAATTCGGTTTGTTAGTTTGCAGTCATTTTTTATACACATACAAACATGTTATCGAAGTGAATGTAAAAATCGATGAGTATCCTTGGGAGCGATTAAAAGCCGATGATGAAGAACACAACCATGCCTTTGTGTTTAATCCTTGTGCGATTAGATTTGCTATGATTTCACAAAGAAGACATGGTAATTTTTTATTAATTCAAATTTCATCTTAAAACTATTGATACAGTAAAACCTCGATTAACATTATCTATTTAATACATCAGTATATTTAAATTAAAATGTTAGTACTCGTAGATAGAATCCAACTCGGGTTATTCCTCAAGTTGCTCTATTCCATGTTCATAGATAAACTTGGGTCTATACGATGTATAAATCAAGAATGGTTGTATATTTTCATTGACCGAAAAGTAGAATTAACACTAGACCTAACACAAGAAACATTCGGATTAAGCCGTACGTCTCTTAAGAACGCTAAACTCGAATGCTTCTAGTTCTAGGTATAGTGTTAGTTTTAGTTTTATTTGTCATTCAGCGTTAGATTGTTGTATATTTTTCATTGAACTAAAACTAGAACTAACACTAGATCTAGAACTAGAAATATTCGGGTTTAGCCGTGCGTCTATATTTTTATAGAATTAAAACTGAAACTAACTCTAGTTCTAGGTTTAGTATTAGTTCTAATGGTAGTGTTAGTTCTAGATTTAGTTGTTATTCAACGTTAGATTGTTATATATTTTTATAGAACTAAAACTGGAACTAACACTAGATCTAGAACTAGAATCATTCGGGTTTAGCTGTACGTCTCTTAAGACGGCTAAACCCAAATGATTCTAGTTCTAACTCTAGTGTTAATTCTAATGATATAAAAGTAGAACTAACACTAGACCTAAAACTGGAAACATTCGGGTTTAGCTGTGCATCTATATTTTTATAGAATTGGAAGTGGAACTAACTCGAAAATTTTTAGTTCTAGGTCTAGTGTTAGTTCTAGTTTTAATTGTTATTCACCGTTGGTATAGCGATTGTTATATATTTTTATGGAACTAACAGTGGAACTAACACTAGACGTAGAAGTTGAACCATTCTGGTTTAGCCGTCTTAAAAGACGCAATCCTAAACCCGAATACTTTTAATTCTAGGTCTAGTGTTAGTTGTAGATTTAGTTATATCGAGGTTTTACTGTATTATGTAAATCTTGTTCTAGTTATTCAAAATTATTTTTTTCTTGTTAATAGGTTCCCCAATTATTGAATCTGGATTAAAAGATTTAAGAGTTTTAAAAACAACACAATCAGCTTTTAAAGATTTTATCCAAGATGGTTATAGAACATTACCCGATACAAACAATAGAATTTTTAGTACTATTGTAACCGCAACGTGGACATTTTCAACAGCGGATGGTGTGGATTTTGATTCGGCTTGGAATTCAGTTAGGGATTGCATTATCGATAAATTCGCTGGTAATCCTGAAACGGGGATATTTTCACCATCAGTTCAAAATACGTTGTATTTAGCTGAAAAAATGGTATTGGATAAAATCCCACAGGTAAATATAATCCATAAAAATCCTTACATCCAAAATTAAGCTACTTTTACTTAATATGCGATAATTTTGAATTTATATATATTGATATTTTAATTATCACATAAAGTATTTTTATAGTATTACTTTAATAAACACATAATTCTAAGAAATTGTTATCTTAAAAAAATATATGTTTTAGGTTTCCAAAATAGAAATGGCAATGCCAAACAAACATTACTTTGAAGTAGACATGACGAAATTTCCAGCTCACGTAGTGGAAGGAGAGGATAAAAACAACGAGGTCTACTGGCCTATTGATAAACCATCCGGAATTATTTACGCAGAGTTATTACGGAAAGATATTACGTCAAAATTATGAAATAATAACGTAAAAATATTATCCGTATTAAATAACCTCTTTGTTTTAAATAACAAAACATGTTATTCCAGTCTTTTTTAAAATACCTTTTAAAATCCGCATGGTCGCAAAAGTTCAAACCGATCCTTAGAAAAATCTTAAAGCTTTTCCCTTCCTATATTTTAAGCTTATCTTTCTCGTTACTTGTTACTCACAAAGCCATTTTATTTTCTTCACAAAACAACCTAAAATATAATAAGTTAAGATTCCAGGAAACTACAAAATTTATAAACAAAAACTTTGATAATTCTTTATCGTGTCTCCTCGTGGAAAATGCCACTGTTGAAATTACCAACTCGGGTCAAAAGCCTTATGCAAGTAAACATATTATTTTTTTAAACAACACATATAAATTGCTCGCATGGACGATAACCATATTAGTGCATTTGATTTTGATGTAAAAATGAGTACTTCTCGGTTGGAAAATGGAAATAAATTTGGTATCGCGCGAGGAATAACATCACACCATCCACAAGGTACCTTTGAATACCTAAACCGTGAAAAATACGAATTTGGCGATTATGGTTATGGAAAAGATCATGTTAAATTGTTACACGTGGAAAGATGTGGGGCGAAACATACAATAAGGGAATATGAAGTTGATGTTCACTTAAAATTGAGTACTCATTCGGATTATTTGGAGGGAGTTAATAAGAATATAATCGCTACAGATTCGCAGAAGAATACGGTGTATATTTTGGCAAAGAAAAGCGGTATTAAAACTCCCGAAGAGTTTGGTTTGAATTTGTGTGGACATTTTTTGTATACTTATAAACATGTTAGTGAAGTTGAAATCGTTATTGAAGAGTATCCATGGGAAAGATTGAAAGTTGATGATCAAAATCATCAACATGCTTTTGTATTTTCACAAACATCTACGAGATTTGCTCATATATCACAAAGAAGAAATGGTAATTTTATTTTGATTATTTAGATAAGATTTTATTAACATTTCAAGTCAAAATGTATTCTTTAATTTACGATTATTTAACCAGTTATAAAATATTTGATAATAACATAGGAAGTGTATAAGAAACTATCTTATGTTTATCAAAAAATTAGATTTCTTATATCCTGAGCATCTTCTGATTTTTACACGTTTATTTACTTTGTTTAAATATAAACAGTGCATTGGGTTTAATTTTTTTCATATCTTACACTTACTCTTATAAGTAGACCTTACATTTATAATTTATCTGACATAAGGCAAGCTATGTATCCATAAATTCTTTGCTTTCTATTTTACTTCTTATTGAAGCATTATCAACATTCTATTCATCAGACCAGTATCTGACGCATTAAGGTCTATGAATTAACCCACCCTTTTACCCTTTTTTGACGTACTCTTCCAATAATGTTAAGCGACATTGCACAAGTAGAGATTATGTAAATTACTTAAAATTTGCAAGAAATTTCCGCATCATACCTCTCCATGTCTTTCGCACATTAGATCACTCTGTAAATGAAATTTAAAAAACTCGAAGTAGTTTTGTATAACTTTGTACAATGTATGGAAGACTCGTGTACGTTGGTACTGCCTCTAACTTTATTTTGTAGAAAGGTTCAAGTTTGTGGGTTATAAACACATTTGTAATCTAAACACTTTTAATAAATAACTTTTGATATGTCCTTTTTAACATAATAAATAAAATAAAATAGAGTTATGTTACTTCATCACAGTTATAGTCCGTTCACATATTTTTGATACACTACAGGTTTTAAAATTTAGGAAGCTGTAAATTTAGTCCAGATCTGTTTATTCTGTGAAATTACATTCAAATTTTGTTGTTCTTCGAGCAACAGCTTTGTTAAATTGGATATCTTAAACTTGTGTTCATTTCGATCCAACTGTATAAATGGATTTTCAATTTCAGATGATTCATATTAGGTGACCGGTAGTGACATAAATTATCTTTTTAACGAAAAATTATATGGTAGCAAACTTATTCATATGACAAATAAAGAAGAAAATAAAGAAAATAGTATGTAGCTATTTACATGACCTAATAAATTATAAGCTTCACACTGCTGCTGTAACTCAAAATCATAACTTAATCGTAATTAACACAACCAGTTTTTAGTTAGTTTTTTGTTTTTAGTAATTGTTTAGTAAGTACAAACACCCAATCCACGCTATCTCAGAATAGTGCTGCGCGTATCAAGGCTTTCCATGTTAACATACAAGGTCTTCGTAATAAAGTTAATGAATTCGAAGCTTATTTATGTCATAACGTGTGTAATTTTGATTTTTCATATACAGGGTAAGTCAGAAAGAATGGGAAATCCGAATACCGGAGATACTAGACAGCAAAATATGATAATTTAACGTACCATCTCTTATACAAATGTCAGTGGTTTTCGAGGCATAGGGTGTTGAAAGTTAAATTCTTATTTCGAAATTTCCTGATAATTTTGAAGGTTTTTGTACTATTAACATAAAATTTGGTAGTTTTATATTTTCGAGCATGAGAAATACGAATTTGAAACTTGTTTTGTTATTGCTCGTAGAGGGCGCTAGATACACGTTGCTCGTTTGATAAATCAAATCATAAGTTTTTTGGCTCGACAGCTACGACCAATAAGAGCTGCAAATCACAAAGAGCATTCAATTTTACATAAAAAGGGTACTCTTATTGAAGTGGTTTAAGTCTATCGATTTTCGAATTATTTACTTTTAAACGTTTAAATGTATTTTTTCTTCTTAAATATTTACTTTTTAACATAAGCAATGTTGGGTTATTTTTCCGCTTATGTTTCGACAATTGCCTGTTAATTGTCAACATTGATCTAATTTCCGTGTGCAATAATCATTTTTACCAACAATAAAGTTATTACCAATTTGAAAATGCCACGACATAATGAGTTTTCTAATAGTGAGAAATCCAGATTTAAGTCCACTGGATTTTTGAAAATGGTCACAATATTCTATTGTTATTAATTAATTGTTATTGTTATCGATTATTAATTATTATCGTTACTAATTGCTATAGTTACTATGTGTTATTGATTTTAAATGTTAACCTTAAAATTACTTTGAAACAATTAAAAGCAGATAACTTGGAAACTAGTAGACTTAGACAATGTAAGCAAGAGTACCTTTTTTGTGCAGAATTGAAAACTCCTTCAGATTTCTGGTTCTAATTCACCATACCTCAACTGACAAAATAGTTATGACTTGATATCTCAAACGCACAGTGTGTATCTAGCGCCCTCTACGAGTAATCACAAAACAAATATCAAATTCGTATTTGTCATGCTCGAAAACATCTAACTAGCAAATTTAACTTTCAACACCCTGTGTATTAAAAACCCCCGACATTTATAAGACATGTTAGGTTAAATCGTCATATTTTGGTGTCTAGTGTCTCCGGTATTCGGATTTCCCATTCTTTCTGACTCATCCTGTATAAATGAGCAATGGCTTTGTGGGGATGAATTGAGTAATAGCGGAAGAATTGGAAAGTAGAACTCGACTACTACTTTTGAACGATCTGAGCGCATACGTCGGGGTGTTTTAATATTAAGTAAACCCGACCTTAAATGCAGTACTTTGGAATGTGTTAATGAATTATTTGTGGAATTGCATTGTGAATTAACTGCATCGCGTTGTGAATCATATGATATCACTGTCAGGTTGTATAGGTCTCCATCTGGAGACTTTGATTCATTTTGCACAATAATTTCTGAAGCTTTGCATAAATTAAGTAATTATAAACAAATTATCATTTGCGGCGATTTCAACGTCAGAGTTGACACATCTGATGGTGCTGCAGTGAGCTTCTGTAACCTCTTCAGTTCTTACAGCTTTATAAGAACCATAAACGAGGCAATTAGGTTGAGCAACTGCCTGGACAACATATTTATTAATTTTTCTCTTAATCTTTTCGAAACAAGAATCATTGTGCCCAAGGCATTGTTGTGCCTATCCATCCTGTAAACCGTGTAAGCTATACTAGTATTGGTGGTGTGATTTTTTTTGATACTTTTGTCAATTATGGATGGGAGTTGTTGGATGATGGTTCATTGGGTTTGACATTTTTCTCAAGTGCTTCACTACTAACTATCCTGAACGTAAATGTATGTACAGTTAGAACTAAAGATAATAATATCGTATGGTTTAATGATTCCCTGAGACGATTAAGATTAGGGCTTCAATTTGTCTCGGAGCTTTATAAAATGCGAAAACCTGAAGATTTGTTAGCCCTAAGGAATAAAATACGATCGGACTACAGAAAAGCTTTAACAATTTATAAAAAAACATTCTGTTAGTCAATTTATTCAGAAATCAAATAATAAGACAAACGCCAGCTGGGAATTGATAAATGCCAACATCAATCGACAAGGAAAATCCCTAATTGATTTTGATCCTGATGTATTAAATAAATACTTTGTTGAGCTACCTGTAAATATAGTAAACTCATTGCCAGCTATGGCTGATACACCTCTCAGCATGTGTTATGTAACTCGACACACGAAAACAAGGTTTACCCTGACAGACGTATCACCCATCGAAGTACGTCAACTGCTTAAAGATCTAAAGAACAGCCACACTAAAGATATATGCGGTATTTCATCTAATTTTATCAAGAAAAACATCAGCTTATACGCGTCGCCTTTAACTAAATTAGTAAATTTCGCCTTTAATACCTGTCAATTTCCAGATCTTTTAAAACTAGCATCTGTTGTTCCTGTATTCAAAGGCGATGATTCCAAAGATGTTGGCAATTATCGACCTATTAGCATATTAGTATCGACTTTCTCAAAAATTTATGAACGCATATAGAACTATGTAGAGTGTAGAGCATAACAATTTGTTGTACAAGAACCAATTCGGTTTTCGTAAGGGCGTGGGCACAAAGGATGCAGTAGTGAAGTTTGTAAAGTTTTGCTTAAATACCTTTGAGGAAGGGGAGCACTGTGTTGTCATATTCTTGGACCTGTCGCGAGCGTTTGACTGCGTCTCCCATTCAATTTTGCTTCAAAAACTTAATAACATTTACAATTTCGATAACTGTAGCCTTAATCTCATTAAATCATTTTTATCAAACAGATTTCAACAAGTAAATTTTAATCAAAAAACTCTGGTAATATACCAGTTGAACGGGGTTTCCCGCAGGGCTCAATTCTGAGGCGTTTACTCTTTCTGCTCTTTTTTAATGATTTTCCATTCTATATTGGTAGCAGTGCTGACTGCTACCTTTATGATAACGACGCCACCCTGTTAATTAGGGGTCGGAACATCGATGAGGTCCTTGAATTGTCGCACAGTGTCCTGAATAGGGCTCACGAGTGGACCGTAGCCAATGAGCTCTCGCTAAATGACTTAAAAACAGTTAAAATGACATTTAGTCTTAGAAATTCAAGTATTTTGAACCACAGTTACACAAGGTTCTTAGGGGTGTATATTACACCACCTAATTCAAAATTTGATGATCATGCTACCATAATAGGGGAAAGATAAGTCGTAGTGTTTTTGCATTGAGACGCCTGATGGGTGTAGTTTCGCTGGATGTAGCTAAGTTGGCGTATTACGCGTTGGTGTATTCCATGGCAACCTACTGCATTTTGGTGTGGGGTAATAGCCCTTCTAGCGCACATATTTTCAAATTGCAACGACGTGCTGTTTATGTCCTGAGCAATGTGGGTTACAAACTTTGCACTCATCCAGCTAATTTCAATTCAAAAACTTCAGTATTCTTATGATTCCTTGTGAGTTTATACTTGAGTCTATACTTTATGCAAACAGCAACAAGTCAGTGTACCAAGTTCAATCTGAGGTGCATGGATACGGGACTAGGGGTAGACACAACTTCAGGCCGAAATGTTTTTTTTGTTTGAATATGTCACAACGGGGACCGGAATTCACATCCCAGCAGTTGTTCAATCGATTGTCTCTTAACACCCGATGTTT